GCTCACCCACAGGACCACTCTGGGCTTATCCCAAGAGCCTGAGCTCAGGCACAACAGAGACAAAGGGCTTGAGAGCTGCCACAGACAGATGAGCCCACGGTAGCCTCACTGACCTAGTCTGTGGTACCATCTGGGTTAGCAAGTGTGTTTGCCCCATCTTCACTGAGAGCCACTGCAGCCGTCATGTAGACGAGCCCAGGGAGACGTGGGTGGCTGGAGTCAGGTGCTCAGGGGCACTCTGCAGCAGTACATCACCACACCTCCAGTACTTGGGGCACGCAGGAAGGTAAGGAGGGAGAATCCCACACTCAACACAGAGGCAGGCAGGCCGGCCGGCCAGCCCTATGAAACACACAATGGCACTTACACGGACAAAAAGCAGAGTCTTCCCTGAGTCACAAAGGCCCAGCAGAAGCACTGCTCTCCGGCTGCTCTTCCTGCTGCGTAGAAGTCTCCAAACCACTGCGGGGAGAGAAAAGTTACTGGCAACTGCCCTCAGTGTATGTCCAGAACTGGTGTCGCACAAGCACCACCTGGGTGTGCGATTCTCCAACTGCTGAGGCATGAGCATGGCCCAGGCCAGGGCCATTCATGGCACCTCACGCTGCTCGGGGCCTCAGGGCAGTGCTGTAGGGCAGAGCTGCGCCCAGCTCTGTGCTGGCAGGAGGCAGGAAACCAGGCGACAAGCACAAAATCCCATGAGGTTCAACAAGGACAAGCACACAGTCCTGCGCTGAGGAGGTAACAGCCCCAAGCACCGCCACAGGCTGGGGGTGACTGGCTGGGCAGCAGCTCTGCAGAAACGGACCTGGGGGTGACAGTGGACCATAAACTGAATGTGAGCCAGCAGCACGCCCTTGTTGCCAAGGACAGCGGCGTACTGGGCTGCCTTGGAGGGGTGTCGCCAGTTGGTCAAGGGAGGTGATCTCCCTGTTATTCAGCACTGGGAAGGCCACATCTGGAGCACCATGTCCAGTTCGGGCCCCCACAACAGAAACTGGAGAACTGGCAAGAGGACGGTTTGGGGGCAGGGGCACGTGAAGGCGGCGGAGGGAAGTGGGCTTATTCAGTCTGCAGAAGAGGAGACGGAGGGGGCTGCGGCGCGGCCTGCGGGGCGCCGACGGGCTGCTCTGGGCGGTGACAGGTGACAGCCACAGGAGCAATGGGCTCAGGCTGCAGCAGGGCAAGCTGAGGCTGGCGGGCGGAGGAGCGCTGCACCAGGCGAGCTCTGCCCCTTGCTGGAGCCCCGCGCCGATGTGCTCGGGGCCGCTCCCGCTCCAGGCAGGGGGATGCACTGGCCGTGCCTCCGGCTCCCCCCACCCCACTGCCTGCAGCTGAGGCAGGACGCAGCCCCGCCCGGCCCGGCCCGCACTCACGCAGGGTGGCGGCCACGCCCCGCAGCGTCAGCCGCGCCCGACGCTGCTCACGGGAAAGGCGTCCGCAAGGGCTGCTGGGGAGCGTAGTCCTGGAGAGCGCGCCTGGAGGCTCATGGGAGTCGTAGTTTTCTTGGCTTCAGGGTCAGGCTCCAGGGGCGGATCCAGCACTGCAGCCGGGCAGACGCACAGCAGTGCTGCCGGGTGGACGATCATTATTGCGTTTGTACGATCATCTCAACCTTGCACGATGTAGGATCGATAATAGTAAAAGGGTTTAAAATGTACAACAATTGTTGAGGCAACACACTGATGCAGTGCAGGCAAAACCCAAGTCACTCCGCCTCTTAATTGACCTTTGGGTTCATAATCATTACTTCCTTCTGACGGCTTGTCTGGAAATAAAGAAATGATTCAACTTGGATGACCAAGTGCTCACTCACTCACTGGTGCTTTAGTGAGCAATATAAGGTAAAGACGACAACTTATTTGCATACTTATTTGTATATTTTTAGCATGCAATAGTTTTTTCAGCAAACACAGTAATTTTGAACTTCCCATATAATAATTTCATAGTTAAGACTAGCAAATTGCCCATCCAGAAGGATCTGGGTGGGAGGGGGCAGACACAGAGTGCCACATCCAGCCCCAGGCCCCCTCTCCCCCTCCACCTCCTGCCACGCCAGGTCTGATCCCACTCCACCTCTCTCCACCCCCCTCAGCCGCTCTGGGTCCAGCCTGGTCCACCCCTCTCAGTAGCGCATGCACAGTTGCCCAAAAGTGTTACGGACAGACAGACACACAGACAGACCAAGCCTTTTATTACATTACAATCTTGGCAACACTGAGCATGAGGGGCTGCACCACAGCACACACCAGCTGGCAGGAGCACCCGTCAAGTTTAAAGCACTTTCAGGGGGAGATGGGGCCGATGAGGAAAAGATCTAGGGGAAAAAAGGTGGTGGCCGTGTTAGCGTCAGTCAGAAAAAAATAAATCTGTAGTCTAAATCTAGGCACAGCCCAGTCCAAAGGCAACACGAATGCAAACAGGTGAAAAACAACACTTTGTTTCTGCTTCCAGAGCCGAGGCTTTGATCGGAGGAAATAATTTTGCACCAGGTCAGCGTGGACAAGACATAGGAAATGCCCTGCCCTTTGTATGGTGGTGAGGACCTCCTCTGTGGACCTGGAGCACTGTGCAGCTCATAAGTGATGAGAACAAGCAGTTCTTCATTTTGCCACCCTCTCTGAAGGCCACATGACAGTGGGCTGATGAAAACTGGCTTAATTTTAACAGAGCAGACAGCAGAAGGAGAAGGCTATGCTGGCTGGAGAGAAAATCCCTAGAGAAAGCCTCTTTCTCTCAGCCTGGAGACCCAGCTGTCCCAGGGCAGGTACAAGGGACCCGCAAGTCCTGATGGGAACTGTAAAACACAGCCAGGGCAAGCAAGGGAGCCAACCACCCCTACCTGTGCCAGCACTTGTCTGACAGCAACAGACTGGGTGCCCTGGGTGCTCTGATCTGAGCCACCGTACACTGCAGCCTGATAGCAGCTGTGGCTAGGCTGGGGGGGGACATGGTGCTCTGTGTTTGCCCCCTCCCTCCTGGCTCCTTCTGGATGGGCAATTTGCTAGTCTTAACTATGAAATTATTATATGGGAAGTTCAAAATTATTCTGTTTGCTGAAAAAAACTATTGCATGCTAAAAATATACAAATAAGTATGCAAATAAGTCTTTTTTTCTTTTCAAAAAAGAAAGACAGGCCCAGCTTTAAAACTTGCCTAGGTTCCTTTTCCATCATTGGCTTTCTCAGCCCCTCTCTCAGAGGAATGACTTTGCTCCTTTGCCACTTCTAGCCAGCGTTCAAACACCAACAAAAGTACATCAGGGGGCTGGAAGAGCTCATTGTATGGACAGCACAGCTGTAGTGGAGCTAGGAAAGAACTGCCATTTACTTGATCAGACAATAGGTCCCTCTTGCCCAGTCTTCTGTATGGCACAGTAGCAGAGCGCAGATACTGGCCGGGAGAATATACCGGGTCTGAGCAGGGCTTTTTCCACGATTCCTCTCCCACTCGCAGCCTCCAACATTTAAGGTTGAAGAAGTTCCAATTCAGAAGCTGTGTCCCTAACTCCCAAGCTCAAGAGCTATTTGTGCCCCTCTCCTCCAAGAATGTGTCCAACCCCTTTTTGGATCTGTCTAAACTGTCAGTTTGCACCACACCAGGTGACAACGAGTTCCACACTTTAATGACGTGCTATGGGGGCGGGAAAAAAAAAGCTTCCTTGTTTTCAACTTACTGCCTACTATCTTCACTTTGTGACCTCAAATTCTTGCATGGCGAGATCATGTAGGCAGCACCCATTTAAAGGCCATCCTGGCACCACCTGAACATTGGCTCAGTCTGAGACGTGAGAGCCAGTTATTGCACTGTTCTGAATTCACATAACCACACCAGGTTAGGAGCTTAGTGCAGTCCCAAGTAGCAGAGTGACACATCTGCTTACACAGCAGCCCACAACCCTGACCAAGGCACGCACTTGCTTGCAGGCCGAGTGTTCCAGCAGAGCTCAAGAACACATCTCAGTGTAGCATCCCAGTTGTGCATCACAACAACAGTTGCATGAAAACATCAAGAAGCACCACACATCACAGCTGGCTGATGTGTTTCAGCAGTGATGATAAATGGATGTGAGCTGCACAGTTTTCCGCTCTTAGATGCATCTTGGAGCGGAAAAGCGTCAGCGACTACTTCACTCCAACACCCTGCATGGCCTCACATGTGAGACCATCTCGGACAGTAAGAGTCCCACAGAGGCAAACTGCTAAAAGCTCAGCGCTTTGAGCCCCGACCCTGTAAGCCACAGACAAGTTCAGACGTAACCACTGCTCCACCAAAAGCACAGCAGTGGTTGTGAGGGGGATAAACCTCCAGAAGGTGGAGCTGCAGTAAGAAGAGATGCTGAGGAGTGGACTTTGCCATCTGCATGGAGCCCAGCACAGCCCCCTGCAGCCATTCCAGCATCCCCACATTTCCATTCTGGCACAGAAACCTGTTCCCTTGCTTAGGACAGACAGTTTTGGACAGCTACTTTTCAGGGGGATGGGGAAGGGGTGGGATGCCAGTAAATACAGTCATTTCTAGTCACCATTTGGAGCACCGGTCCCAACTTTTTTGCCATGACCCGCTGCTTGGGAGTGGAGCGTGGCAGTGGCAGCCGGGGGGTGGGGGAGCTCCCAGTATGCAGCGCAGTTCATTTTTTGTGTGCAGCATCGCTGGCATTGCTCCCGCAACCCTCATTTGGGTCATGACCTGAGGTTGGGAACCTCCGATTTGGACACTGGTCCAGCTTGTTCAGCTTCCACAGGGCATGCCTGCAGAGCACAGCAAAGCACAACGACACTCGCCTGGGTATCTGCAGTAGCACAGAGCTCTGTGATGGCCATGTTTGCCCTGCTGAACAAAGTCAGCCAACACTCATTTCAGTTGACTCCAGTATCTCCACACAGTATTTACTATGGTCAGGGTTCAAATCTTAACAATACATACATTTCAGTCATAAAAAGGCTACCTACTAACAAACAAATCATTTTGTTACACGTCTTACTGGAGGATTTTCTTCTATTTGAATCTTACAAGTATAGAAAAACAAACAGGCAGATTTAAAATAAGTAGTTGGAAACTGCTCTGCTGTGCAAATATATATATATTTTTTTTAAATGGGAACTTCAGATATACCCCAATTCTCTTCCTAAAGATCTGTGTTCAGGAAAAAATCCTCACATAAATTAAACATATTTTAATAAAGAAAAGAAATAAATAATCATGTCACATACAACAGATTCTTGAAACAATATCTTAAACCCCAGCCATCCAGGCTTCCTCATGGATTTGTTACAAATCAAAAGAGATTAAATGCCTTCTGCCTGGGACCATTACAAATCCAGTTTCAGGAACCAAGTGGATCTTCTATACTCCAAACAGAGAAAACTGCTCCTCCAAAGAGCAGCTAAACACGGAGTTCACACAGAATGTGAAGGTATTTCGTGGAGCTTAATAGTTACCTGTGTAACTATGACAGTTCTGAAACCATAGAAGGGGCATCCCTGCACCAGCCAGTTCTTGCTCCAGTTTTGCTACAGAAATACACTACAAGTTGCCAGTCTTCATCAAAATGGACCGATGGCAACAGTTTGTGCAGTAGCTTCTCTCAGCCGCCTCTTCAGCTCTATGAGCAAGGGTCACAGCTCAGCGGCTAGCAATCTTTTGGCTTTGCCCTTAGGTGCATTCATGCAGTTCAAACAGGCATGTTCTCCCAAGTGGACAGAGAAAAAACAAACAAGCCACTGATTCACAGCCCATGGAGTGGGGAAGCAATTTGTCCAGATGCCCTTTGCAAGAAGCCACTGAAACAGAGTTGAACCTGAAGCTGGTCACTATAAGGCAATCACAGTGTTACTGTGGGAGGTCTACATCTCAGCCCCAGGGTCACAGCAACTGTTGGTGAAGGATTTCCCACACCATCTGTCTGCGGAAGTGAGGCATCTGGTGCTAAAAAAGTTCAAATAAAATCATGATTTCTATTAAACATGCAGTTGTACCAGACAGAATCAAACAAATGTGTTTAAGCACTGGAGGCAAGTCTGCAGAGGAGAGATCATTTTTACACACAGCCAACATTTGCCACCACAGGTTCTTCTCCTCTACTAAACAGAGAAAATAGAGGCACACAGGCAAATGCCAGCTTTAAAAATGGCAGCACATGGGTCAATGACTGACTACTAACAAGCTGAAACCACCTGAAAGCTAACCAACCCAGGAAAGATCCTAACTAAAGCCTCAAACACACCCTTATAAAAAACATGTGGCATTCGCTCCCAGTCCCTCAGCTCCAATGCCCCCTCTCAGAGAAGCTGGGTAGGCTGTCTTCAGCAAATGGGTATCAGAAAGAGGCCAGGCAACTACAGTGCACAGCACTGCAAAGGCTCATCTATGAGGACCATGGCAAAAGAAATCCCCAGAAGGAAGTGGATCTGCACGCAGTCTGGGTGGTTCAGGAGGGGAGGGGGCTGAGGT